ACAAATCAGTTTTTTTAAAAACGTATTTAGACTAATTCTGCTAGGATTGCAAACCCCATTGTAAACAAAGAAACGAAAACATTATATTTAATGTGACGGTTAAAAATTTCCAAACTACTTGGAGATAAACTGTAAAGGAAACCTATGATGCAAAATCATCTTTTGTAAGCTGTTTGGACAGAACCCACAGTCATAATAGAGGGATATAAACACAAGTCTTTTTTTTTTTTTTAAATATCATTAAAATAGGATCTAAATCCCAGTAATATTGAGGCCCATCGCAACGTGATGTGGGAGTGTGGTTTCCCTGCCCACTGAATTGGTTGACATGAGTATATTAACATGTTAAGTATACATAGTAACATAGTAATGCATATAAACATGTCCACAGAACAGGATTTGCAAAGAAACGGTGATCAAAAGATCTGATCCAACTCTCTGTGATCAGCTGCACATCCAGAAGGAGTTTTAAAACATTTTTAAAACGGTGCTTGTGATAAAGAGAAGACAGTAAAATCACTGTAATATATATCAATCACTGTAATTCATAAGCGCTGGAATCAGCACAGCTAGAAACATCAGTTTATAACTATGAATGAGGAGAATGCTTCAAATACACAACAAGAGTCGAGAGTCCCGGTGTGTGGACGTTAAGTCTGGTTTATTTTGTTCAGTAGCATATTGGATCTCCATACAGCAGTGTATATTAACTTGTATCCTCCTGTCACATTTGCTGCAAGTAGACGAGCAAAACAGTGCAAACTTAAATGTGTGTACTGCTAACTTTGTAATGGGCATTTGTGTGTGACGTATCATCTCAGAAAGGCTTGAATAAACTCCACAACCAATACAACAAATAACCTTAGTATTTTGAGTCATAAACTGAATCTCTGCTTTATCCATGTCTGTCTCTGTCACTGACTGCTGTTTATCTGACTTGATGCAGCAGGAGAAAAGAGTAGTGTCTGTCTGTGGACTGAAAGAAGAGGCGTAACATGAAGGGGGGCCTAACATGTAGTACTGACGTAATTTGAAGTTATCGAGACCCACATGCCAAAACTGTTGTCAGCAAGATGGCGCTGTACCCATCAGTTATTAATGTCTACACCTACTCGACACCTAAACCCAACCATCACAGTTGTTAATGTGTACACCTTCTCCGACCCTAAACCCAATCATCAGTTATTAACATTTATACCTACCACAACCCTAAACCCAACCACCATAGTTATTAACATGTACACCTTCCCCAAACCGAAACCCAATCATCACAGTAATTAACATACAGCTGCGAGTGGCGGAGGCTTTCATACTTGACCTCTGCCATTGTACTGTTATTTGCAACCATAGAAGGCAACGCCGAGTAGGCTAACTGTCATGACAAAACAGATGAAGAAGTCAAAGTGTGGAGTTGCTAAATTAAGGAATATAATAATAAATCAAATAGGTTGTGCATAAATTTGGGGAAAACTCATGAAAACATTTGCTAAATAGTATTTCTGCCATCTTGCCAACAACATCTCATTGTGGCATCTCAAATGGTCCAATGGGATCTCAATACCTGCAAGTTACGCCTCTCTAACTTACTACGTTAGTTAAGCCCCTTCACGTTATGCCCCTCTCTTGCAGTTTGCAGACAGATACACTTGGGAGAAACAGACACTCATGTAGGAACAGTGGGCGGGGAGAACCAGTACATTTGCATTTAAAGGCACAGGCAACAAAAACAGCTACAATGTCCTCTAACCCCAAAATTTACACATTCAGCGTTGTATAGTACATAATCTGATGGGTATTTTAAGCTGAAACTCTAGAGAGACATTCTGGAGACACCAAAAACTTATCTTACATCTTGTAAAAGGGGTATGATAGGAGCCCTTTATTATATATTATTTCAGGTTTCTTTTTTCACTGTTGGTAGAAAGTGTAGCCAGCATGATCTGCTCTCTTTTTTTCTATTAATCTTTTTTTATTTTTTTGTATTAAGTTCAAATTATGTAGCAACATGTGGCACCTCTCTTGTGGGGGCACTGTAGGTTTTTAAGTAATAATGGACATGAGTCAGCGCGGACAGGGGTAACAGGAAGCCAAAATGTACTTATATCCTGTTCTTGTGGTCGACTCAGCCATTAGTATTGACCTTTATTCAGAAGCATCTCATAGAGGGGCGACTTTAAAAGAAGCTGCCACACAACCTTTCAAGCTGTCATACAGCAGAAGCGTAGGCAAGCTGAAGAGGGCGGTAATTCTTGACTCGGTGGAGAATTTGCCCTTGACCTTTCAGATTGTCCAGTTTTAGTCAGTTTGATAAGAACTAAAGCTAGATGGAGAAAGAGAGCAAGACAGAACAGATTTTTGCTCACTGGAATTACCGTGGACCTTTACTTCTCCGTTTTTGTACAGAAGAAATTAGACTTGTAACGAAGCACAGTACCGATATTTATCATGACTCATTTTAAATAACTGAAAAACATTTTACAACAATTAAAACTACATCATGTGTGTTTTTTTTGTCATAAAAATAAAATAAATATAATTCATTTTTAAAATAAATATCATTACAGAAAACGTAATTGATCATTTTAAAAATGTAGTCAACTAGGGTTGGGTGATGTTGACCAATTTGGCATTGTTCGATGTCTAATGTGAAACATTGTGATGGACGATGGCATCTTCATCATAGGTGGCGGTAAATAAATTATTTATTAATAATTAATTAATTCAGAACTAATTAACTTATTTTTAGCCTACCGTTTCAACTACCTGACACGCATGGTCTTTGTTTTACCCATAACCAAATCATAAATAAATAAAGTTACACACAAATTACCACCTGTCAATCACTTTTTCGGCAGGACTCTGGCATAATTAAGCAGAGTGATCTGTGTTTTTATAATGGCGTCGACAAGCTTGGTTGGTAAAAACGGTGCACAACCAGGGCTTAATTTAACCTCATTTTACTGATCTCCGTCACACAACCCACATGATTCTTCTGCGACTCACCTACCCTCTTCACTTTCGTCCATGACTCAACCCGCTGCCTTGTCCCCACCCACTCCGCTTTTCATCTTCGTCTTCACCTTCACCACTACCACCCCGGCCCCCAGGCTTCACTTTCGATCGCTGTTACCTTTCCCTCCTCTAGTAGCATGCCGGATCTGTAACCCTGGTCTGTTCCGGGACCTCAAAATTTACTAATTAAACACTGTGCACAACCAACAGGAACCAACCAACAGTATCTGAGGTTTTAGCTAAAATTACTAAGTACAAGCGTGAAAGCGAAATACTGAAGCAGTGTACTGACGCTGTGACACCTGATTCAAAAGATAGAAGAGTCGTTACAGAGAGACAAGATCAATTAAATATCACGTTTAACAACTATAGTGAGGCGCGATCCAGTGGTACATCCTTGATAATTGTCCGACGTGCAATGCTCTCTGGGGTTTTGTGCTCAAAGCAGCCACTGACTGCTAGAGCTCAGAGTCAGATGTGCAGGTATGCTGCAGCCCGTGTGTGTGTGGTCACATGATGTGCGTTTTCAGCGATGTAGTGTGGACGAAGATCTTTTCAGAAAAGCTAGATGAAACGCCAGTGTAGACGTGGATCCTTTTCATTCTAAAATGCCATTTTAAAACATCAGTGTAAATGGGGCCGTGTGTGTATTTTTCACGAGTGGGTTGCTGTTGCGACAGGGTCGGGGCGGCGGATCGCGGTGCCGGCTCAGCATCGTGATGTCTGTCGGCCATCAGCGATGGATGATGGCATCGTCTGTTGACCCAATCCTACAGTCAACATTCATGATAATAATTGAATACTATTATTAATAGCCAAATCAATTTTAGTGCAATTTTTTTTGTTGCTGGCAAATTTATGTATGCTGGTTTTCAAGTTACTGATTGAATGAAGGTAGTGATAGGTGTATTTTCACCCATTGAACTAAAAAGTTAAGAAAATATGACCCCCAAAAGATTTTATTTACTAATATTATATATTTCTATAACAATATTCTTACACAATGTATTATATTGATAAAACTTTAGAAACTGATTATGTCTCAATCAAGAAAATTAGACATCAGACTTTCAGATAATGTAATATGTAACTGTCTCCAAATCATTTTATTGATCTTCTTTTGCTGACAGATGTCTTGTTTCGATTAAAAATAGGAGAATCTAATTTCGCTGAACTTTGGAGGTCTGTGAAAATATGCTTCATTTCATAAATTCAAGATTTTCTTCCTCCCAGCATTAAAGATTTATGAGATCTGTCAAAATTTCAGAGCTCCAAGTGCTGCTTACGTAGATGCAGTTTATTAAGCTTGCTTCAAAAAATCAGTAAAGACACACTGCACCCTTGTGGTCAAAACAAACCAATGCACAGGTTCAGTAAATCCTAGCTATACTGAAAAAAATATTCATTGGATTTACATTTTTTTTTAAAGGTGAGTGGTTACAAACTATTTACATGGGCTGAATTTAAACAAGCAAATTAAATAGAGTAATCTTCAACTTAATTTGTTTGTTTAAATTCAGCCCAAATAAATATGTTTACAAACACTTGCCTTTAAATAATTGTAAATCCAATGAAAAAAAATTTCTGTGTACTTTCCAGATTGTTTGTATTCATAAATTCAGTGTATGGACAACCTAATAATCAAGTGCATATCACTGAAAACCTATAAGGGCTACATGAAAACCCAAATCACTAAGCAAGCAAACTGCTCACCTGGTTTTAACCACATAAATTAGATAAATTTAGGTATCAAAACATACTATACATTGTTGCCTCACAGCAAGAAGGTTGCTGGTTTGAGTCCCGGCTGGGCCAGGATGTGTTTCTGTGTGGAGTTTGCATGTTCTCCCCATGTTCGCGTGGTTTAATTGAATAAACTAAATTGGCTGTAGTGTATGAGTGTGTGTGTGGATGAATGTGTATAGGTGTTTCCCAGTACTGGGTTGCAGCTGGAAGGGCATCCGCTGTGTAAAACATATGCTGGAATAGGTGGTGTTTCATTCCCCTGTGGTGACCTCTGAAATAGAGACTAATGTTGAGTTCAGACTGCATGATTTTAGTCCTGATTTTGACAGGATTTTAGAAATCGCAGACAAACGGGTGAAATTACAAGCAAATCGGTGCTCGTTCATGTGAGTAACAATTACATAGTGTGAACTGTCAAAGACACGATCTAAGAGTAAGTAAAATGTGTTCTGATTGAAAATAAGGCAATTATAATTACCTACAGCCAATGAGAGAGCAGCATTCACAAGTATGGCTATCTGCAGGCCAGTGGTGGTTGGAGGAGAAATTAAAAGAGCTTCTTTTCAATCTATTTGGCCCAAGAAATGGAGGAAAAATTTGAGTAAATTTGGCTGATGCACCCGTGTCTGTTTGACGTGTCATCGGAGCAATACCACGACCGGGTCGAAACAGAAAAAAGTTGAGGAAAAATTGATAATTCCCTTCAAAGGTCAGGTGAGCAAAATAAGTACATTTTCTACCCCACTAAAGGCTTCTTTCCGATTATGTAATCAATAACAAAATATCCTGCGTGACCTCGCGTTGTTTCCATGTCACTTCTCGAGTGTGTTTGGTTGTGAGACGTAGTTTAGACAAAGTTGTCGGCGATTCTTCCTATTTTGAACTCATGCAGTGTAAAACCCCCTGTCCCCAATCCATTCTACAATGTAAACAAAGCAGCAACGAAACGCGAGCCCAGATAGTCATGCAGTGTGAAAACATCTGTGACGCCACTGCTTTGAAAATCGTACAGTCCGAACTCGGCATAAGCCGAAGGAAAATAAATGAATTAGTTATCCATGTGGAACTCTTAAATTCCAAATGTGAAAGATTCTTTATTGTGGAAATAAAAAAATGCACAAATTAGTTCTTATGTTTACTGTAAGTTTTTAGGAACCCAAATGGTTCTTCTGTTGCACTCCTGTAATAACCCCCTTTTGGAACCTTTATTTTCAACAGCATTAGAAAAGCGTTTCAGGTTTGTTGTATCCAAACAATCTGAAATCTGCTTCATAGAGACTGTAAAGTTTTCTCCTGTCTGCTACTGAAACGTTTGCAAACCATTCCCGCTCCCATTTTACAGCCGTCCTATTACGGTACCCTGGGGGGAAACGAATCTGATTACTGAGTCCAAGAATCTTCAGCAAATGTTCTGTGTCCTCATGAAGAGTTTCTAGTTTCCCAACAAAGTCATAGTCAATTTGGCATGGATGGCAAAGTCTGTGCATCTGCTGCCAATGCTCATTGAACGGCTTCTCCTTCTCAGTCTGTGGATCTAACAGATACTTAATGAAGTGAGTAAAGGACAGTCTGATGCCTGCACTGAAGGCCTCTTGAGCCGAAGTGGGGGGCTGAGAAATATTAGCATAACGCTGAAGCATTGTGGAGCCGAACTGTTTGTAGAAATCCTCATTTGGCAGAGCAAACTTGTTCCGGAAAGCAGAAATCAGTCGTACAAAAGGATCCCGTACAAAGAGGAACTTAGTGTAGTTCTTCAGCTTGTGATGCATCAGAGGACGTGAAAAATGACCAAAAAGCCTCCAAAACTTGTTAAATGTCAAATGCACAGTAGCATTATGGGATAAAGCTGAAGGTATGTCAAGGGGATCCAGATATGGAGCTCCATCAGGTGCCTTCAGCTTCTGGCTGAGCACAATCATGATTCGTTTCCAGTTGGTACAAGCTACCTTGGGTACAAAACAGTAAATCACACCGTGACGATCGTCCACAATGAGATGGTCCAGCTCTTTGCTTGGAATTTGGTCAAATGTCCTAAATTTTCCAGGGAAAATCAAACTGCTGTTGGCTTGACAAAGTTCTTTTATTATACGTTTGCGACGTGCTTGACGAAGTTTGAGGTTTTTGGAGGAAGACTGCATGAACATGTGCGTTAGATTGTTTGGATGAGCTGAGATGATTGTCAGGTTTGGTTTGACTGACCTGCTCGACTCTTTCCAGATAAACAAATCCTCGCTTGTCCAACGTTCAGAGAACACAACACTTGCTGGGAGCGCAGGTGTTGATAAAGCTGCGTGCAGATAAAAAGTCCCATCTTTCACATCATCCCAGTGAATTATAATGAAGAATATGATAAACAATGTTCCCAACAGAAGGAAAAACTGCAGCTGCCTCACCATTTTCACTGGAAATCTGTCTGTAATGGATCCCATCTTGAATGTGTAACATCATCTCTGAAATAAGTCAAGTTGGGAATTCTAGGGGGAAACATCATAAATATATAAATAACTGCACGATCTTTTAAAGTCTCAATTTAGAAATGTCCACACACAAAACATGATCAATAACTCACCCATATTTTGTCCTTTTGTGCTCCACGTTTCAGAATGTTTCACTGCAAATCTCTCAGGAGGCAGGAATGCTTGAAGTTACATATGTAAACTCACAGTAGGGTGTGAACACAGGAAAATCGCTCCGCCTTTCAGCCGGGACTAAATCATATGCTGTTATTCCAGACGGTTCAACTAAAAGTATCACAAGTATTCACAGGAAACCACAGCTAAAAACAGCCGGGCAGACTTGCAGTGTCGAGTTCAGAATGAAAAAGAAAACCAAAAACACTTACGAGTTATTCTATTTTTCTGTTTCCCATGGTTATTTTAATCCTTGAGATTGAGTGGGATTTTGGAGGGGTTGTTCTCATGTGAAGAAGCAATAACACACATCTAAACACAGACTGTTCCAGTGAATAATGTATTATGATGGATTTATTACTTTAAATATATGTTCTAAATTCTAGCAGCTAAAAAAATACACTCGTCTATTCAGTGTTCAGTTGGATGCAGATATTTAATCAGTAAAATCTAATGGTGCATTTAGGCATTTAGACATGGTCAATAAAAAATTGTTAAAGTTCAAACTGAGAAACATTCATTCATTTTATTTTTGGCTTAGTCCCTTTATTAATCCGGGGTCGCCACAGCGGAATGAACCGCCAACTTATTCTGCACGTTTTTACGCAGTGGATGCCCTTCCAGCCACAACCCATCTCTGGGTAACATCCATGCATACTCATTCACACTCATACACTGCGGACAATTTAGCCTACCCAATAAACTGAGGAACAGAATGGAGAAAAGAAAAGTAATTTAAAGAGCTAGTTCACAGAGAAGTTTTAATTTACTCACTATTTACTGACCTTCAAGTGGTTCCAAACCTTATGAGTTTCTTTGTCAGGTTGAACAGAAACACAATAATATCCAGCTGCAGACCCACACACGTTTCAGCACGCACAATCCAGGACACACAATCTAGGCAGGGGAGAACCATATATGGTTACGACGAATGTTAATGTTATTAACGTCTTCTCGGACCTTGTCATCAAAATATTTTATACATATATATTGTTAATAAATAGTGTACACAATAGACAATAGTGTATATACTATTTTACAAATATGGCGTGAATGAGATGAGGTGAATGAGGAACGTTGTTTCCGATCGCCATTCAATATAATAGACTGAACAGTTTACTATCAGTCGTCAAAGATGAGTCAGTATAGCAGATATTCATTTGCTGGCTTTTCTGAAACATTTTTTAGAGCTATATAAACAATCTAAATTGGACAGGTTTAATAAATATAATGCATTCAATATTATGAAGGAAATAATAGCAAGTTCATATGTATAGGCTATATTACATCTTTATGTAAAATAAATCTTTTTACATTCAATACATGTATAACACTATATTTATATTTCACTCCAGCGATTGGATAGTATTTATTTGCGTAACCAAATAATAGTCATTAGTGTTTTAACTAATTATTTTTAGTTACATAATGTGAGTACCAAAACTGCACAGATGTTAAAATGATTGTAACAATATAATAATGAAATAATGACAGAAATGGGAACCTCTAAACTGTCCACAAACATGGACGATCTTGATCGCCATATTTTGTGATAGGTGGCGATAATACACTTAAGGAGGTAGTCATCCTTAAACAAGAATAAATAGAAGACGGATTCGTCGTTAACCATATATTGTTCGGCCCTGCCTTGATCATGTGTCCTGAATTGTGTTTGCTGGAATGTGTATTTGGGTCTGGGGGTCTGCAGCTGGATATATCTCACAAAAGCAGATATTTTTAAGAAAGCCAAAACCCATTGATTCCCATAGTAGGAAAAACAATTGCTATAGAAGTCACTGGTTACAGGTTTCCAGCTGTGAAGGTCTAAAACAAGTAAAAGGTGAGAAAATGATGACAGAATTTTCATTTATGAGTTAAATATCTTTTTAGGTGCCTGTCAACACTGGGTATTTCAGAATCTGGGGATCTACTGGGATTTTCAAACATTTACAGGGAATGAAAAAGAGAAAATATCTAGTGAGCAGCAGACCTGTGGGTTAAAATGCCTTGTTGCTGCCGGAGCTCAGAGAATGACCATGTAGGCTGGTTTTAACTGAGATGAAGGCAACAGTACTTAAAATATCACAAAAGCATATTACAGTACATGCTGTGGTATGCTGATACAATAATCTGTCCTTACTTACAATTAAATTACACTTCAGCGTACTTATTTGATAGTTATGGTGATACATTATCAAACAATGATGTGATTGATCAGGCCTCAGTTTGCTCTATTGTTAATTTGTAAATTTAGTTAAGCTGATTAAATAAGTGACTCATGCAATCTCCTTGGAGCAACCAAAATGAACGTTCACACCTGAAATATTACTTGTTGCTCTTTAATTCGATCATATTGAATCATTGATCATAAGAAGGTCACTGGTTCGAGTCCCGGCTTGGTCAGTTGGCATTTCTGTGTGGAGTTTGCATGTTCTCCCAGTGTTGATGTAAGCTTCCTCCGGGTGCTCCGGTTTCGCCCACCAGTCCAAATGCATGCGCAATAGGTGAATTGGATAAGCTAAATTGGCCGTAGTGTATGGGTGAGAATGAACTTATAGGGCATTTTCCAGTACTGAGTTGCGGCTGGAAGGGCATCCCCTGCGTAAAACATATGCTGGAATAGTTGGTGATTCATTTCGCTGTGACGACCCCTGATAAATAAGGGACTAAGCCCACGGAAAATGAAGGGATGAATATTAAATTATAGTATAACCAGTAAAACATTTTGGTGCTCATACTAGACCACAGATATGAATCATAAGTAACAGAAGATTATTTGTGGATGGTGGATTGATTTTTTTGACCATTATACAGCCATGTTTTTGTATTTATTTTTCCAGAATTAGGAGTTGACTCGATAATGACAAAAACAAATTCATTCTTAACCATAGTTTATTTTTAAGCTCTTATTTACATGTTTTAAATGTGATCATTAAAAATATTGTCAGTGCTGTCTGAGGTAAAACGTATAAAATCTCAAAAGGCTAAAAATCTTCAATACATTTCTGTTAAAAAGCTATAATAAAAGTAATGTAAATTTACAACGTTCTTCGCTGTACATTGCAAAGCAAAAAGTAGATCTCTCTTATAAGCACTAAAAACTCAGACGTATGACTTTTTTACAGCATGTTTGTTCCTTTGCCGTGTTTCGTTCTTTCTGTTGACATCGGCCATTGCTTTTTGTTTAGGATTTTCATTGGTGGACTTCTTGTAATTGCCTGCTTGCTGGAGGAGACTGCTGGGGTAACAAACATCTCCTTGGCCTACAAACATATCTTAGTCAGCTTAAGTTGGCCATTAGCCTCCCAAATTAATTTCACAATTTAAAAAAGACTGATGATAATAATAATAAGAAAAGCTCACCTCGCTGTCGTTTGTAGACGGCCTGCGCTCGTTTGGTGTCTGAGTGTTTTTGATGGATGGTGCTGGGTGGTGTTCCCCTGATCTCCAACTTTTGAAACTGTACTTCACCTAAATTGATTAAATGCCAAAGTTTGTTTCCAACATCTCAAGTGTGCACAACAAAAGCAACACATTGAAAAATGTTTTACTCTTTCTGTAAAGCCAGCAATCACTTTAAGTCTGCGTTTTGTAAAGGAGATCACATCCTCTTTGCTTGAATTTGGAAAAATCTTTGAAACGCTGTAGTTTTTTACCTGTAAAGTGAGAAACCGGGATTTTCACTTTTGCTACTGGAGGTGTTGCAGGGTTTGCAGGACCGCCATTGAGTGGCTGGATGATGTTTAATGCTGGCCGCACAAGGTGGTTGTCTGAGATGCTTTCCAAAGCTGGATACCTGGAAGCATTTTGTCTTGGTTTTTGTACCTGCTGTGAACACAAATCAGTAATGGTTAAAATGACTAGGTTTGAGAATGTAACTTAAAATAGACAGATTCCACATATTTTTATCAATTTAGGTAGGTAGTAGGTAATCATTTGTTGTGAGTTTCACTGAAAAGAATGCAATAACACATTGTAAATATTTTTGTTAGTATGCTTAAAGTGATATGTATTAATAAAAAAATGTAATATATATTTTTTTCATTTTCAACGATTTTAAACAATAATATAGTGGAATGTTATTACAATTTAAAACATTTGTTTTCATTTAAATATATTTTAAATACCTCAGTTTGTCACAGGGGCATGAATGAAATGTTCCTGAATGAAAGTGAAGCTGCTACACTGCAGTTAAATGTCGAAAAATAAAAACGAAACACTCAAAATTACATTCCTCCAATAACTCTGGAGGAAACGTGGATAGCGTCACGACGTAATGTTGTTAATCGATCTATGTGCTATAACATCATGAAAGGAACATTTAAAAGGCAACTTGTATAAACACCTTATCATAATTTTGTCTCATTTAGATTAAGGCAAATCATTAGATTACTGATGTCCATGTAAACAGTCATAAGCCCCGACCCTACAAAAAAGTTCACTGATTTAGGTGACAGCCTTTCCACAGATTAATAGTAAGCTAATGTGATGTTAATTGCATAACATAAATCTTGCATTCATGCTAACAAACAAATGATCAACAGAAATATATTAATGCAATTCAAATATATAAAATATGAAGTGATGTATGCTTTAAACTTACATTTTATTGTTCAATTAAAATGATTAATATATATATATATTTTTTGACAAATAATTTTGGATGTATCAGTTCAGGCACCGTTTTGGCACCGGTATAAATTTAAAGTATTGATTTAGCACTGATATCGAAATAACCCCAAACAATACCCAACCTTAGTCTTCAGTGTCACATAATCCTTTATAAATTATTGTAATTGGATGATTTAGTACTAAAATAATTCAAATAAAAATAAGTTTAGCAAAAAAGAGAAATAAAAAAAAAATTAAATATTGCATTATCGATATTGACTACATTACTGCTGCTTAATTTTTTTTATAGCTCTGATGCATTTTTTTACAGGATTCGTATATTAATAAAACATTTGGTACCACTTTAAAATAACGGTCCATTAGTGAATGTTAGTTAATGTATTTACTAACATGAACAAACAATTAGTAATACCTTTATTACATCACTTGTTCAAATTTGTTAATGTTAGTCAATGTTTAATAATATATAATAATATTTAAGTTAAATAATGACAGTTCATGTTAACTCACAGTGCATTAACTAATGGTAACAAACACAAATTTAGATTTTAATAATGCACCTTAAGGCATGCTTAACCAATAGTTTAACAAATAGCGCAAGAGCAGCAGAAAGCAGTGTGGGTAACTTTAGTGAGAATTATTTGAGTACAATATTAGCAAAATGACCTCTAAGCCATGGAGATGTGTTTGTACAACACAACACAGGTGGTAAAAAATATAATAGTATGACCCTTAAATATTTACAAATATATAGCTTTAGTTAAAATAGAGCACTTAAGGACAAATATTTCAACGATTAAATCAGCCCTGAAATAATCTGCATGTGCGTTACTCTCGACAGCATACTGAGAGAAAACGAAAGTAACTCGAACAGTAGTATAGTGCTTAAAATGTCCAGT